GATGAGAAAGGCCCATATACCTTACGACTCTGCAGGGATGGGAAGAGAGAGAGTAAGTGACAGAAAGAGAGGGGCAGAGAGGGTGGTGGTCACCACAGGACGGCATCACCCGACAGATGAGCAGCTGACCGACTCGAACGTCGTGATGATCTCCATGGACTTGTCTGCGAGTGCTGGGGCCCACGGCCACCACCCAATGACGCACGAGGAACCACCCCAAAACGGTCGCGAGAGGGTGGCAGAGATGACGCTTGAGTCTGGCAGCCCTGCATGCGTCTGCTTTGTGCCCCCCGTCTGCCTCTCGTCTGCCGGGACAGCACACCACCACATCACGGCCGCCCATGCCAGCCCTGTTCCCAAGCGCGAGCCGCTTCGAGGGAGGAGGGAGGGGGTCAGACGTCAGGCATAGGCGGATTCAGCCCACTCATGGGTCCGCGATGGCTTCTAGCGGGAGAGTCTACTGTAAGGACGATGTGACTTATCGACACCGCCGACACCCAGCTCGCTTGATGGCGGCGAATGGGAAGGTCGCCAAGCGGCCTGGACGTGCGGTTCGGACTTTGGGCAGCCCTACCCTGGACCCCTGAGCCTGTCCGGGACGACAAGGTAGCTAGCTCGAAGCTCCGATAATTCTCTATTTGCTGCTGCGGCTGCTGGGAGCTTGGACAGCGTTTGCTACCCGTTTCTTTTTGTTTTTTGGGGCATGCCGAGCTTCAGCCTTCGACGCCACGGGCGTCTTGGGCGTCGTTTGGCCTGTTCAAAACATGTCGTGGTCGGCATGCCGGTGCCGGGGCCTGGTGTGTGGTCTGAGGTGTGAGGTGTGAGGATGGCCTTGGCTATCAAGCCCTGGGTACATTAAGAAGGCGCCGTTGCGCCTCCTGTTTGACGAAGGTGGATGGAAGGTTCCTGTCTCTATGCATGTCTTGCTTCTCTCTCCCATCCACGCTGGCAGTTTCTCGTGACGTCCAGACCATCCAGTCATCGTCCTAGCCCTGACCCGATTTGCCAAGCCAACAAGTCGTCTCGAAGAAAGCAAAGACTAACCCACCGCCGTCATGTCTTCCGACAACCTAAAGGGCCTCAACACGAGGACGCATCCTCACGTTCCGTCCTGGTTCTTCATCGTTCAGCTCGTCGTCCTCGCCCTCGGCCTCGGCGTCTTCATCGCCTCCGCCTACAGCCTCTCCTTCTTCGACGGCTATGGCTACGCCGGCGCCTACTCTGGCTCACCGGGCTTCCTGCTCTTCGCCGTACGTCCCCTCCCATTGTAGCCACCACCACCCAAAGCACACGACTACATCATCGAGACCAGTGACTAACACCAGGTTACAGGCCCTCCTCATCTTCATCGTCGTCGGCAGCCACATTGTTCTCGAGCGCTTCTTCTCACAGTGGTACTTCCGCCTCGCCTTCGTCATCGGCTACGCCTTGACCATCATCTTCCTCCTCTCCGCCTGGGCCTGGGCCGCCAGCATTGCCAGGCTCTTTAATGGCGACGTGTGCGACGCCTTTGGCTGCTACAGCAATGACGGCAACGGCTACGGCAGCGCCATGGCCGCCGGTGCCGCCCTCGGCGCTTTTGCATGGTGAGCTCCCGCTCTTTCACCCCCCAACCCCCCCTCGTCTTTCTTGTTCTCTTTCCTCTCCTGCTCTCTCTCCGAGCCTGCAGAGAGGCGACATGAGAACCACCGCATGACCGAGCCGGCATGCTGACCGCTGCAGGGTCCTCCTGATCGTCCTCCTCGTCTTCTACATTCTCGCCTCGCTGAAGGAGGGCCGCGGCGAGGTTGCCCCCGCCGCGACCGCCGCCGACGCCGAGATGGGCCACGTCAACAAGGAGGCCCACCAGCCGTCCGTCGCGGCCCCGACGGAGCAGCTACCCCAGCAGCAGTACCAGGAGCAGCAGCCCTACCACCAGCAGCCCTATGCCCCGCAGGACCAGACCCAGCAGTACGTCCCTCAGGAGCAATATCCTCCCCAGCAGCAGCAGTATCCCCCTCAGCCGCAGCAGCAGCAGCAGCACTAAGGTGCGTGCTTCTCTGAGGCGCGGGGCGACTACTTGGCGCCGAAGGTTCCGCCCTCTTGGATATGTCAAGCGGTAAGGGCGAAATGAGACTTTCGGGTTGCCCTTATGCTGGAGAAGGATATGTTCGTAGAGAGGAGAGAGAGAGAGAGAGAGAGAGAGAGCGAGAGAGAGAACGGCTCGTTCTCGTTCCCAGATTTGCCTTGGTGCTGCTCTGCTTCAAATGGCGTACTACAAGATACCACTCGTGTTTACTCTGCTTGGGATACCCAGGTACTTTAATATTACCATGATAATTCATGATAGACGTCTACCTTGCCCTTCTTGACTACGACCGAGAGCCGCCTCTGTTGAATTTCCTTTTGCTGTCTCATGGCCAGACGATTCACATGTGAGGTCATCAGATGACTCTACTGGCTTATTTGCAACGGTCTTGTTTGAAGCAGCGAAGGCGTCTTGTGGATTTCTCATTCACCAGAAACCTGGTACTCACTGGAGTGATCTGTATGTGAACAAGTAGTTCATTACGTTTTGGCAGGATCGAGTGATTCAGACGATATCACCACAAAGCACGCATCACATGCAACTGTGATTCGCAGTTGTAGTGATCGCAAGTATCTGTGAACGGTCGCAGTCATGAACGGGTGCAGTTATGAACGCGTGCAGTTATGAGCGAGTGCAGTCATGAATGGATACAGTCGTGAATGGGTGCAAAATTGGGTATCTAGCAAAAAGTTCAACCTCCTCTGAAAACCATTAATTCAAGCCATTTCCCGCAGTCTCTCGCAGTCAAAGACCTAATGCAGGCCAAGCTCTCTCCTTTCTTCCTGGATCCCTCATCGGCAACGCTCCCTGGATCGCATCATGCCCTGTTTATCTTTCATCTGCCCCATCTAAAAGTCATCCTCGGGAGGCAGCAGCAGATCATCGGGGTCGATGCGGAAGTCCGCAACAAGATCATCCCTAAGGCCCTCGGGCACTGCGTCCCACTCCTCCTCGCTGGCGCCCTGGTTCACGGCCCTCGCCTTCCAAAAGTTGCGCTCGGCCTGTGCTTGGGCGAGATCCTCCGTCAGCCGGTTCACTCTGTTCTGGCGTCGCTGCCTTCCGCGCTTGGCAGACTCATTATTCTTCTTCTTGTTCCATTCCTTGACTTGCCTGTCAATATCCGCATTGGCCGCATCGATTTGCTCCTTCTCCCACTCGGGCATCTTAGAATGCTTGCGCCGAGGGGGCGTTCACTTCGGGGGATATTGTAGTGGAGCACGTCGACCATCTTAGGGGCACGGCGCTTTTGGCCAGGCTCAAGCTTGTTCATTTTTCTCTTTCTGATCTTTTTGCCCCTTTCCGATGCATCGTCCCTTTCAGTGGCCACCGGGACCTTGTCCTTGTTGAGAATGGCGCGAATTTCGCTTTGTCGAGTGACACTATCAGCCTCGGGCACACTGTCACCCATGAGGCTCTCAAAGTATGTCGAGGAAGGCACGCTGAGGCTCGTCTCCCGAATTTCCTCTGAGTAAAGATCCTTGGAAGTGTTCATCTGTGCTTGTGCTTCTGTCTGAACGAAGAGATCCAGTTCTGAAGGGTGGGGGTCGAAAGCCGGATTCAAGTGTAACGGATTGCTAATGGCGTTACGGAAGGTGTTGTTGAGAGGGCTTTGAAAGGAAAGAGGGACGCTTCCAGCAGCTTCGTATGGCGTTCCTTGGGGCGCTCCGGAAGGTTGTGAGAGTCCGGAGTCGGGTCTTCCACAAGGCATGTTGCATGAGGCAGGTAAACCATGGGTTGAAATTGAATATACGCCAGGAGGCAAGAAGTTGTTGATATCAGCATGGCTGCCTGGGAAGAAGCTATTGTCAGAAGGGATATTTAGCCCGCTTGCGTCGCTGTAGAGGCTATCAAGCACCTGCTGGGGATACGTGATCGAAGCGGGCGGCCCAAGGGGGCTGTTCAGAAGGGCCATGGGAACCGGGGAGTTTGGCACCAGTTGACGGCCGCCCCCGGCAGGAGGAGGCATTTCGGAGGCCTGGGAGCTGCTTGAACTGGGTTGATCAGGCTGGCCCCCATAAGCTTCGATGCCGAGGGCGGTCACCATGAGCTCGCGTTCTTCATCGGTGAGGAGTCCGTCGGGTTCCCCTGGTTCCACCATCTTGAAAGACGACACCTGATAATGGATGTCTGTTAATGAATACTCAAAAGAAAAAATGTGTCACGAATATAGCGTGTGAAGGATGGAATATGGGTAATGTTTGATAGAGAAGAGTCTCTCACCTTTCGACGCAGCTTAAGACGTTGGTGTGCGGAAGAGCAAGAAGTAAAATCTCGTGAGTCGAAAAGGCAGTGATTCATGTCTAGAACAGGCGTTGCTCCAGAGCAGACCTCTCCATGGGAAGGAAACGAAGCACTGGCGAGCCTCTAGAAAGGGGAAAGGACGACCGGATAGTCCAAGGCTTCTGCCTTGCCTACAGTTCAGGAAAGCGTGATACTATGAGAGCTGTTCCTTCTTACACTCCTAAGGATCTTACACACTGCCTCTGTTGAGCCATGCTTGTGCATTGCACGCAACGAGAGAAGCACGCGACCAAACCCTGGATCTATCTCGGCCTGCGCTGGCATGCATGGAGAGACTGCAGGCGAACGACGTCCAGCCCATGCTGTTTGGACTTGCAAGATGCACTGGAGCTCTGGACGCGGCGTGTCCTGACACGACGTTGGCACCCATGAGCAGCATTGCTGCACAGGTGTACTGCAATGTGAGCTCGAGGTGAGCAAAAGGGATGGACATGTTCATTCCCACCCTCTGTGTTTGCTCACAGGGCAAAAGTACCCAGCAAACTAATGCCCATCGCAAGATCGCAAGACAGCTGAATAGCGACTGAATGTATTGAAGACGAAGTCTTATCTCGTCAAGCTTTCACACGATTGACTCTCGACCGCATTGAGATTGATAGAACAAACTTTGTCCGACAATTGCCCGATGACAAGAGAGGTAGCCTTCAGGGCTCGTTGGAGGTATGCTCCGATAGAAAGAGTTCATAACGGGATTGGCCGAGGCTCAGACAAGACAAACCAGACCAGCACGTTTTGTGGATTCTCGTATTGGATCGCCACACGATTCTTTCCCCACCTACCTTTCTCGCCTCGTTCGGTGAGGCACCAAATCTACCTTGAGCTAGGATCGTAGGGAGATAGGCGATGTAGGCGGTCTTGAAGAGCGACCTCCGGTTTCCGAGGGCACCACCTGCATCATGCCCGACTCAGGAAGGCCAACAGGAATAACCAATATGGACGGACATGACTCGTGCTGGTGGAATACTGACAGTGTTGTCATGCGCGAAAGTCTCGGGTTCAATGCCACTTTGTGAGCACGAGCGCTCTGGCATGGACGAACAGCGCGTGCTTTGGATGCTTTTCGCGGTGGAGAGAGGAGAATAGGAAACCCGAAACCGAGGGCGGAAAGGGGGGCTGTCCATAGTCCACTCCCAAAGGCAAGATCCTTGCAGAGCGACCCGATACTCTAACCATATCCATCGCAGCCAATAACCAAACGACCACTCACATACAAGCATTTCTTCACAAGCTCAACAACGCAACGAGTGGAAGCACGGACGGAGCGCTTATTGCGCCCTCGGATCACTATTTTTTTCACTGCTTTCTGACCAGGGCGAAGAAGGTGGAGAACCCTGAAGCCGCGCATGATGCCGGAACCAGGGTCCCAGAAATGGCAGCCAAGCCCTTAACCACGACCGGGGCTAATATAGTACATTGGTCCTATTTTCAAGTCCCAAATGCTGCTGCCTATTGTGGGTCTTGGTCCTCAACCTCTGTCCACAGCGGGCGGTTTATAGGATGTGGCCTCGCCGCCGAGGACCCTATCGTGCCTGGCTCGTGTGTTTTGGAGGTCGACAGCACTAGATCACTACCGCAAAGATGCTCCCTGTGGTGCCTGTCAGGGTCGTCCGACTTGGAGCCTTGTGCGTCCTCATCACAGTGACCGTCTTGACAACGAGTTACCTGCTCCTGAACCGTCACCATGGCATCGATGACAAACTCGAACTGCTCGCCTTCACCGACAATGGCACCGCCTACGCCGTCCATGACACCCTGACCCCGTCCTGGACAACCGAACAACTCATGCCACGATTCGCTTATGTCCAGTACGCGACGAACGTGGAGTATCTATGCAATGCGGTAAGGGCTGCGCCTGTCGACCCTATGCAGGGAAAGCGGAATGTTCTCATCTGACAATCGTGTAGCTCATTAACTTCACCCTGCTACGTCGTTATGGTGCCCAGCATGATCTCGTGCTCATCCACCCCGAGAAGTGGGCGCAAGGGACCTCGAGACAGGCAAAGGCGATTCGCAATCTGAAAGAGGCACATCCCGAGATCCAGCTTCGCCCCTTTGGCGTCCTCTCCACGACCAAGGGCGATGTCACATGGCGTGACAGTCTCACCAAGTTCCACGCCTTTGCTCTGACTGACTATACGCGCGTTCTCGCCTTCGACTCGGACACGCTCGTTCTCAACTCGATGGACCACTACTTCCTCGCGCCCCTCGCCGCCGTCGCCGTTCCACGTGCGTACTGGCTGACGACAGCCGCCTCTCCCCAAGACGAAAGTGAGGGTGTGCACGAGGAACAGGGCGGTGATAGTGGAAGCGGAAGCAGCATCACCGGCAGCCCCAAACCAACGGCCAAGCCCAAGCCGAAGCCCAAGCAGGCCCCCTCGATCGCCCAGCAGGTCCTCGGATCGCACGTCATGCTCCTCGAGCCCGACACGAAGCGCTACGAGCGCATTGTCGATAATGCTGTCACGACGGGCGACTTTGACATGGAGGTCGTCAACCACCTCTTCGCCGACAACGCCATGATCCTGCCGCACCGCCGCCTCGCCCTGCTGACGGGCGAGTTCCGCCACGCGCCGGACGACCACGCCGCCTACCTCGCCCCCGACACGGAAGAGGAGTGGAATGCCATGGCCGAGGTCTCGCGCTCGTACCTCGTCCACTTTAGCGACTGGCCGTTGCCGAAGCCGTGGAAGTCGAGGACCCAGGCGCAGTGGGACGCCGCCCTGCCCGCGTGCGACGAGAACGAGCCGCCCCGGGATGACAGGCCAAAGTGTGCCGACAGAGTCATGTGGACGGGTTTCTATGACATGTACGATCAAATGAAGGGCGAGGTGTGCGGAGTGCTCACCTCGTAGAGTTGGGTGGGTGTGTTTCTTCGAGGTGTTGGTGTTTCATCTGGGTAGCATTTGAATCATGTATACATGGCGCAGCGGATCTTGGATTTTCGATTTGGAAAAATAAAAAAAGTTATGATACTTCAAACAAGACGGTTCCTGGTGGCAGGCACAGCCATATTGACCTGGTAGTTCATGAGCTGCCGTTGACATTGTGATCATCGTTTCATGACCGATGTCACAGCGAGGGCAGTGGCGGGCCCGCGGAAGCTCGATATCCCGCCAACTCCGAGCCCAATAAAGGTGTGGTGGCTGGTCCCGGGGCCGGACCGATGCGTAAACATCAGCCTCGCAGGAAGGGGCTTGCTTGCGGCTTGGCCGTGTACACCAGCGTTTCTGGGCAATATACATGGTCAGGCGCTATCATACCGTTGAATTCTTGGGGGCTAAAGCCGAGGCCCCGCGCCTGTTCCGAACGCACGCCTCTATTACAAACGACAATGGTGCCATGGCCAATTCTACTCAGGCGTGTTCCGGCTTACCGAATTGGCAAGTCAAACGGGGACGAGACGTCCAACATGGCTGTAAACGGAAACATACTGATAAAGACCGTAAAATCAAACGTTACAGGCACCTCCGGCTGTTCATAGTCTGGTCCTTTGATAGTAGGTAGGCTGTGGCATGTAGTTCCAGAATTGTTCGATTAAACATGTCCTTCTTCGCTGCCGAGCAGAGAGAGTCACAGTCACCTTGGCCAGGGAGCTTAGGATGACAGACATACACTTTGACCATTGCGAGTCGAACTCATAGTAAATTACAACGCCTCATTATTGGTAGCTCTATGGACTTAGTCACACAGCAACCGTCATTAAAAACTGCACGCATCGTCCACACGACGCTTACACGCTCAGCATCAACGCTGCCGCCACTGCGCCCAGGCCCCCGACGATCCCAGTCCGGAGGGTGCCGGCGGCATTGTCGTCGTTGTTGTTGTTGTTGTTGCTTCCGCCGTTGCTGTTCTCGTCGCCGCCGTTGTCGCTGCCGCCGTCGGTTGCATCACGATCAGGGACCTCATCGGGATCATCGCTGCCCTGCACGACACTCGAGGCGCGCACGCAGCGCAGCGCAGTCGAGTCGTCGCCCCACTTGAGCACCACAGGCCAGACGTTTGTCACGGCCACGGCATAGGCTTCCTGCGCGGCATCAGAGCCCTCGGCCTCGGCACCGCTGGCGTGGGCGAAGAAACGACCCGTCTCCGTGATGTTCTTGGGGACGCCTGCGAAGCGTTAGTCAAAATTGTCGGGAGGGACCTGCATCAGATTTAAACTTACGGAACGCCCAGCTGGAGACATCAGTCGAGATCCAGTCCTCGCAGCTGCTGGGCACTTCGACATCGCCGCTACACGCACCGGCCGCCTCGAGGTCCTTCTTACACGCATCGCTCAGCTCCTCGCAGCTGCCGTCATCGCCCTGCGCGTCCCGCGTGGCATTGGAGCTGAGGCCCCGCCAGATGGTGGCGCAGGCTTCGCCTTCAGGTGCAATGCCGTTGGGCGAGGCAAGGCGAGGACAGTGAGCTTGGTAACATCATCGTCCGCAAAGGAGCCGGAACCGGCGTCATCGAGAGACAAGTCGGCGGCAACAGATGCGAGACCCCAGGCGCGGCGCCGTGTGCATTTGATGTGTCGTTGGTCCCAAACCCGGGACCGGCAGCAAGTTTTGGCGTTGGTTTGGGCGAGGGCGAGGCCAAAGAGCCCGAGGCCAGGGAGTAAGGCGGCGAAGCGTCCGGCGGACCCTGTGGAGACAGAAAGAGGCCCCGGCGAGGGCGGCGAAAGGGCAGGGATCGGATGAAGGCAGCCCTGTTGCGTGTGTGGGCCCCCAAAGGGGGGGGGGGGGGATAGTTGCTAAGTTTGATGGCTGTGCTGGGTGGTTTAAGTCTCTTTGGTGACAATCTTGCCTATCGTCTGATGATGTCGTTGTTGATGGACCATTGATATGGAGAGAGATCAGACGGAAAAAAGGAGAGTAAGATGCTGGAAGCGCAGTCGAGCAGCATCCGGAGCAACAGCTGATATATGTCGGACGACATTGGGGCCAACCGCTCGCTGCGCAGCCGCCCAACAACCCATACATGGGCACAGACACGGCCAGCCAGGCACAGGGAATTCGGTTCCGAGAAGCCAAGGCCTCAAGCGGGCCATCGCCATCGTGTCAAGCCCTCGACCAGTGCCGCCAAGCGCAGCACCTTGGCGCCATATACCCCCGGCGCTGCGCCGTCCGATTCGGCGGCAGAAGCAAGCACGGGTCTAAAGTGACGTAAAGCTGGGGCCCGGCCGAGTTTTCAAGGGGGGCTCATGTCGGGAGCTCGGGGCGTCTGGTGCCTGGCGGCGTCGGGTAGTTGATGGCCAGACGCACAGGCTGGGCCAATGTTGATGGGGTGATGGCAAACACGGCAGACCTGCGGGTGGAGTGGTCCGGTTGATGTTGTTGCACGATAGGACGCCGCGATTGACAAGGGAGCAGGCTGTTGGAACCAATGTTTCGGGTCTTTTGGCGTCCAGGCTTGGTGTGGCTCGGCATTTGCATGCAGCTGACAGTGTTGGTGTGAAGGGAGAGACCTGGTTTTTGATTCATCTCAGAGGACGAATACGAAAGGAGGTGCAGGAGGCAAGAATCACTTCCATTATGAAGCTCGGTATAAGTCGGCGAGAAGCTCACACCTGCCCGCTTGCTATGTTGCCGCTTCGTACCTTCCAACCTTAGCACGTACCGCAAGGTAGTACCTTACCTAGGCGCCCAGGTAAGTACCTGGGCAAGGCACTGTACCTTACCTCACCTAAGGCAGGAGGTAGGTAGGCGCACATCGAACAAAATGACGGCCGACTCGAAGGAGCACACATCTTGTCGAAGCCATCCGCGTGGACTTGTTCATGACCGTTGGTGAAATCTCTGAGTGCGGTGAATAAAGCAAGGAGGTCGCAAGCCGATATGACTGTCTCACTTCCCCAGTCTTTCATGCGTGACTGATCGACAACACTACCACTGTGCCCAGCCGGACCTGAGAGAAACAACCAGGCCCAAGCCGCCGAGCATGGCCGACCGACAACTGCACATTGCAGCTCAGAGGAAGCGCCTTTGCACATGGGAGGATTGGCAGCCGCTGGGTGATAGACCTATCGTGGAAAACTCTTCCTTTCCGGCTCCGTCTCTATCGGATTATACCATCTACCATTTCATCTATCGGATATACTGTACTGTACTGCTACCAAAAAAGCTGTCAGCGGCAATGCGCGCTGCTGCTGTTCCGCCCTGTCGGGGTTGACCCGTTGAATGCTACAATGCTTGCCGCCGCCCCCTGAAAAACGCCGTTGAGTGCCGATGCAACCATCCTGTCGTCATCGTGTTGAAAAAGTTTTGTGTAAACAAACACCAAGATGCAAGAAAAAAAAAGAACGTCCTGAGGGAGGCTCTCAAGATCTCTATGCCCGCCCCAAAGGCCTGCCCAGCCGGTGTGCTCATGCCAGTCCCTTCTGACTATGGCTCCTTGTCTCGTCCATCTCCTTCCAGATGTACTCATTGAAATCATCCGCGTTGTCGAGATACAGGTGATGGCCCGCCTTCTGCACGACAATCACCCTCGCCGAGCCATTCTCCCTCCGCTTCTCCTCGGCCGTGCCCTCAAGCAGCGCTCGCCTCTTTGCTGCTTTGAGTTTCTCCTCGGACGCCAGACCGCCAGCGACGTCCATCCAGTCGTTCTCGCCGTACATCATGACGATGGGAATACCAGTCTCCTTGATCTTTTGCCCGTTCTTCTCCACCGTCTGCCGGCCGACGCCCTCGATGCGGTCGATGATGGGGCTGCGCGCGTACGCCCCGGGCGCGAGGATGTATGGTAGCGCGTACTCGCCGCTGCCCTTCTGCCGAAACACCGAAAATGCATAGTCGTGCAGAGAAAGCGCCTCGGCCGTCGGCAGGTGGTTGAAGCGGCGTGACGTCCAGCCCGAAACGATGCGAGGACCCAATGGGCCACTGAACCGCACCACACTAAAGGGCGAGACGTTGGCATCCCAAAGCCAGGCGAACCAGCCGGGAAGCGGTCGCTTGGGAGCATTGCTCGAGTTTGTCGCCGTCGCGCTCTTGACGCTCGCGTTGGCATGGTTATGCGTGTCGTTGACGACGCTTTCTTGGTCCTGCGTAAACTCGTTCTCGAGCGTTGACGAACCCGGCTCCGGCATGGCTTCGTTGACGGCATAGGGATCCGAGGGCACACCGACGGGGGATGCGAGAATGAGCTTCTTCAGGTGGCCGGGGTATTTGAGGGCATACGCCACAGAAAGGTAGCCGCCCAGGGAGTGACCGATGAGGGTAAACTTGTCGATATTCCTGGCTTTCCTCCACTCCTCCAGTGCATCGACGAACCAGGCCTCCGCCTCGTCAATCTTGCCCTGCTTATCTTTGGCGTGCATCTTGAAGGGTGGCCTGGTCGAGTTACCCATGCCGAGCATATCTAGCGCGTACAGTTTCCAGCCTTTGCGTCGTGACAGGGGCTCGAAGTTCTTGTAGTAGAAACCCAGTCCGGCGCCGTAGCCATGCAGCATGACGAGGTTCTCCTCGACCTTTTCGCCAACACGCTCGACGGAGTATTCGTTGAGGGCACGGTTCTGACCCGAAAGGTTCACCATCTGGGTCTTCCAAACGCGGGGCCCGAAAGGGTCGGACTGATCGGCGGGATCGATGGTGGCATGCTCGCGGGCGTCCTTGAGGTAAGGGATGTGGGCAAGGACGTTCCGTTCGGCGGTCGAGGGGCTGATACTGGACCACTGCAACTTTGTTAGAAACCGTTTGATCTTGACGTTCACATACAGCTCGGTGTGCGACGCAACACTGGTGGCGATCGACGTACCCATTGGTAGGCAGCTTCTTTGTAGCCCAGAGGAAAGTAGGCAAAGTTGGGACGCGACGGCTTGGCCTTGTCGTCGACCGTCTTCTGCTGTGCCGTTGCCATCGTCTGGTGGGTTCTCCTTTGAATCTTTCTCTGTTGTGCGAGTTCGTCGATGGTGGGGGCGCGAATGGTTGAGGTACTCGTAGTTGTCGTTCCGACGATGGACGAGGCGGCAGCGAAAGTAAGTCGCGACCCGTGCACGACGGCAGATGCTGAATGATGCTGTATCATACCGGGTGGCGAGCGAGGCGGGAGGGCGCAACGGGGTACTTGTAGGTGAGGAGAGCGGGTTTCGACTCGGAGACGGGGGCTGCGGACAAAACGGGGGACCGGGCTTGACGGTCGTGCCAGTCCGATATGCGACAGAATGCGCGAGACAGGGAGAGGCAGTACGACAATGCGCTCAGTAAGCACTGGCACGAATGCGGATGCGACGAATGGGACTGCAGGTTTGGTCCAGTAGAACCCTGCCAACAAGGGCGTTGACTCTCGCACTCGGATTTAGATAGCAGTGGTGACGCACTGGATTGCTTCCTGGGGGGCCAGAAGATGTGACTTAAGGTGGCCCTGACGATCTGGGTGGATGGACTTAAGCAGCCGGAGTTTGGGGGGGCGCGTCCGGTTGGGCGGGCTTTTGAGATGGTCCGTATCAGTCTTGTAAACAGGGGGAAAAAGTAGCCGAGCGTTGCGGAGTTTGCGGTTAGGTTGCCGGAGATGGCTTATTCGAAGGGGTGAGATATGTATAGGAGTGTAAAGGGAGTCAATGTCGGACGCAGAGAGTATCAAGCCGCGAAAGAGAGAGGAGGAGAAAATACAAAAGCCAGGTTGCCATTGGGACATGGGAGGCGAGGCAACCACGCGCACTTACACGGTTTTCGGCTATGTTGAGCTTTCGTTGAGGATAGCGGTCAGATGCGCAGATTTACAGGGGGGGTTAGAGGGGCAAGAGCGGCTAATGCGGGCCAGACACGGCCCCATAGTACAATACCTGCTGTATGTGGCTGCCTGTACCTGGAGCGCGCTCTTTCCCTCTCAACGATATTGCCCCGATAGTTACCTCCTCTGGTTTGTCCGCTAGCGCTGTTGCCAAAGTCATTCCAGGCCACAGCATCGGGAAGGATCGCCCAACATGACGCAGTTGGGTGGTGGGCAGTGGGCAGGCATTTCCAAGCAGCACCTGTGACCAGCTGGCCGAGCAAAATCCAGTGAGACAAGGCGGGGCTCCGCGGGCCTGGAGCTTCCCAGCTGACTGACATCTGATCCTGGATCCAACCCAACCCACCATCTCCAAACTCCAACACCGACACCAGACATCCGCATTCATCAACGTCACGGAATTAACGCCCCCAGATGCCTCAATCTAGCCGTAGCTGATCCAATGCCGAGTGTCAGCTCACTGCATTGAAAAAAATATAGCTCGCCTGCCAATTTCGGCTCGACGTTGGTCGTCCCGAGACCGCCCCCACGACCTCCATTTCCCTCCCTCTCGACAAGTCCTCAAGAAGCCCCGGCACACCTCTTCACATGGCCGACGACGTCGATTCGGTCGTCAAGGGAGCCCCTGCGCCTGGAAAGCATGCATCCGATAATGTCGGGGGCACGAGCGGTGTTACGACCAACAATGGCAAGCACGGCGACCCGCTGAGCCACACCCCAAGCTCCCCCTCCATGATCTACCTCAACCTCCTCGTCCTCGAAGCTTCTCTACGCGCCCAGTACCTCGAGCTGCGTGCTCGACGCCGCCACCATACCTTCTTCTTTGCCATACTGTCACTGTGGATCGGCGGATTCGGCTATGCCCTGTTCTTTGCGCCACGCGAGGACGGTGTTGGCGTAGGAGGGTCTGTGTACTGGGGCGTTGAGACGATTGAGAAGCTCTGCTTTATGGGGGGCATCATGACCGCTATTCTGGTCTGGGCCACCGGTATCTGGGATCGCGGTATCCGCTGGCCCAGACGCTGGTTCGCCATTTCTAATCGTGGCCTCCGCGGCTTCAATGCGAAGCTCGTCATCATACGAAGGCCTCTGTGGGCCGAAGTTGGCTCTACTGTCGGCTTCTTCCTGACCTATGGTCTTTTCTCCCACACGGCCAGTTCGTCTTATCGCTACATCGATCCCTCAATTCTGCGTGCCGTCGAGAAGGAGCTTCGCCTCACAACCGAGAAGCATCCCGCCCTGCCCAT